GTAAAAGTACTCCCTTAGTTCTCTATACTCTATAGTTCTTTGCCTACTTTTTAGTTTCTTTTCAAATAAATGAAATTGCATTAATAGAAAATTGATTGTAAGAGGCAAAAACCAGAGACATAACTTAATCAACTTTAGTAGCATGAAATAGATTAAGGAAAAATAAGTATACATAAACAGTGATTGCACCTACATGTAATTGACGCATATTGGGCAAATAGAAGGCATGTTAGGGTTTTCACATGTATTGCATATGTGGTTTTTCCTTTTCATCATCTAAAACATTCACTCCCACAATCTTTTAGCTATAATCGTGTATGAAGCACACAGGTGTCAAAGAAACTTGCTGCTTGAATACAAAAGTCTACCGATTGAACACAACAGCCTACGAATTACCATATGTGACAGGGGGGAAGTAAATCTGGAAACGAATAATGAACTCCTACTCTTTCTTAACATAGAGATTATTGAACTTTTCGAGGTCATCACCGAGTAATCTGATGAACCAACCATGGAGCGCAGGGGGGCTACGATGGACGAAAATGTCTCCACTGCCTCCATCGCCGAGCGGATTCAGAGAGGAAGAGGAATGGGAAGGGACGAGCTTCAGTAGACTCCTCGCTGTCGCCACAAATTGAAGGGAAGATCCGATTGCGCAGATCGAATTGGAGCCTGACATGATTTGAAAGATGTGAAAAAGAGTTCAGGTATTAGCAGACCATTCTTTGGAAATTACTAAAGCGAAAATCTCGATGGGGAGCCGTTCTCAACTTTTAATTAAGGGTATTATTGTCACTCCAATTATTATTAGGTTCTACCAGTTGCAGCAGTCCTAATTTTGGAAATCAACCATGAATTAGTCCTATTTGTAACATTCTCCCATATGTGTGTGCATCATAACTTATCTGTAATTCAGGGCTATTAGAGTTTTATAGAACTGATCAATTGAATAATAAATAAAATCACTAAATTCAAACCTCGTATTTGTATCTGTATGTACATAGATATCAAAGAATGGCATAAATCACAATCTCAAATCTCAATCGGGTAAAAATGTAAAAAAAAATAAAGAATAGATCCATCAAGCAAAATAATTGGAGTTCCCAAATAATGGACTGGCGGTGTTCTCAGACATATCATGTTGTTGATGATGATGGTACAGCTTCGTGTTGGACCGTCGATTATTCTGTCGGTACAGATCATACGGCTCCCACAGATAATCCAACGGACACGGTTTCTTCTCATCAAGCCTCTCCCATGGCTTCCCCTTCCCGCTCCAATGCAGCAGGCTCACCGGACCGGGGTGCAGACTCCGGCAAGACCCTCTCACGTTGTCGCCGCCGAGCCCGTGCTGGTTCCACCGGTGGTCGATCGGCTCCACGTCCCCGCCAAAAACCAGCAAGAACGGCGGCAGAGAACCCAGCTCGTATACCCTTCTCTTCTTCTGAAGTTCCATCCACCCCTCGATCTTCTCTCTGTAATTCCCCTTCCGCCATTCCCGGAGATCCATCACCATCACGCCGGTGTTGAAGTAGCAGGGCTCTCTCGATTCGAATACCCGGGGGAGAACCGGGTCGGACCAGAACGAGTCCGTGAAGTATTTGGTGAAGTTCGCGTGGCAGTATTCGGGCGCCCCGATGACCCGGGACTGGCTGAGCCGGACTTCCCAGAGCTTCTGAATGTCGTCGATGAGGATCACGTCGGAATCCAGGTAGATGACCCGGTCAACGCACGGGTCGAGCAGGTCGCCCAGATAGTTCCGGGCGTAGTTCAACGGGTTCTCCAGCGCTTGTCGGATCGAGGACGAGATCAGGTTTCTGACCGCGTCTTCCTTGAAGACGTAGACCTTGAAATTGAGCGAAGGGAAAACGGACTGCACGAGGCGGGTCAGGACCCGGGGATTCGCCGGGTCGAACTCGGCGGCCAAGAAGTGGAAGAAGACGTTCTCCGGGCACGAGGCGTGACGGAGGACGGAGTGGACCGCCGCCAGCGACCCGCGGAGGTACTGGGAGTCGAGGGTCATTGCCACATGGACAAGCGACGGGGAGCAGTACTGGTCCGGCATCGTTTTGCCCCTCGCCGGAGCCGGACAGTTCGCCCCATTCCGGTAGGCCGGCGCCTCTGAAAATCCAAATCCAGCATCTCCCCGGCCATTACTCTCCACCGGCAGGATCCGAATCCCAACACAGCACGACGGTGAGAACCCAATTATACAGACGATTAAAACGGCTGCCCAGATGATTGAATCTACTCCAGGATGAGGATACTTCATCATCATCCCTGGAATTCGGATGAATTGAATTTCCAAGAACGCTCAACTGTTTCTGGATCTCTTGTGAATACAAATTCGAGAACATAAATATATATGATGAAATAATCCGAGTTAAGCTAACATTCTGCGGCAGAGTTGTAGTGGGATTGGGGAAGAAGTAAAGAAGAAAAGGGATACTTCTGGAGAAGGGGAAGAGTCAAAACACACATGATGAACACGTATTTTGGGGGTAATGCTTGAAAAGTTATTCTAAAAAAAGCATTACGGAGTCCGTATTACCTAATACAACGCGGTTTGGGATATGAGTTGGTCCGTGTCTCGGGCAACCTTTATGCTATCTGGTCACTACAACCTGACCGTCCTAACAGTTGTGAATGATTGGACCATCGGTTAATGCATCCCAATCCGACTAAAGTTGATCAAAAGATAATAAGGAAATAAAAAATGATATACCCACTTTTGTACACACCTATATTTGTGAAGTGTTTTTTTTTTCTGTAAACTCCGGCTCACAGATAATATTTTGCACAGACAAAAAAAACCTCCACAAACAATGATGGGTATAAGGTGGGTACATCAAGCATTGTTGGATATAAAAGGGTAAAGCATTCCGTTGTACATAAAAGTGGGTATAAAAGGGTAAAGCATAGATTAAAAAAAAGGAATAATAATTAGGGATGGACCCGGGTCGGGCCTTTTTTTGGGAATGGGGGAACCGGAATCAGCCCGGGTAGGCGGCGGTTCCGGGCCGGTTCCGGTTCAATTTTTTGTTTTTGTTTTTGATTTCTTATTTATTTCATCCCCCACCCCTATCCCCCCCACCCCTCAAACTCCTCGGAAACACCCAACTCAACCCAACTAAACCCAGTCCAAACCCCAAAAACCCAAAAAAAAAATAAAAAAGACCCGAACCGGGCCCGACCGGACCGGTTCGCCTTTTGTTTGACCCGGGCCCGGAACCGCTTAACCCCTCGGGCCTAGGCCCGAACCGGAACCGGTTTCCCGGGTCGGGCCGGTTCTAAACAGTTCCGGGCCAGTTCCGGGCTGGGCGGCCCGAACCGAGTCCATCCCTAGTAATAATATGATCAATTATATGTTTCGTACTTCCTTTGCCCAACTTATGGAAAACTCCTTGGAAATTATTAGAAATAAGAATGTGTATTTGACATTATCTGTTATGTTTGTGTTCAAGTAAAACTATGCGAATTGGTTTTTGGTTTAGTTGCTTTTGTCCAAGTTGAACTGATTCTATGTACTCATGTTAAACTATGCAAATGTTTACTCGTTATTTAATTGCAATTCTTATTGTGGTGTCCATATTGATTTAAATTCATATTCAAAGATGGAATTTGGGTTTAATTCATCACAAATGTTTCTGGTAACATACGAATTCCAAGACAGAATGCAAATTGAATGCCATTTATACTTCTACATTATTATTGTGCTCTATTACACACACAAAACAGCAAAAACATTGTTTGTCACTAAACAAGTATGTCTGATAAAACTGTATATGAAGGGTTAAACAAATACTAGAAGTAAAAAACAGAAACACATATAATCACTGCATAGAAATAGGGATAGGATTGCAACATGATTTTTTATTATGCCCGAGAATATATGACAGCGAGAGCACTTTTGTCGTTCAGATCCAGATCCACGAAACTCCCCAACAGAAGGAATTCTGGTCTTCTTAGGACGTCCAGCGGGTCTTTTGAGACAACTTAACAGCTTGCAAATCTGATCACGAACATGTTGAGGAACCAACCATGATTGTGGATCAACAATGGGATGTACAGCAGCACTCCAAGTCGAAAGCCATGAATCACGTGAATATAATGGTGAGATGAAGCATAGCAAGATAAACGGGGGCGCACACGAATAGCAGCAACTGCATGAACACACACAAATTGTTCCAATTGAAAACTGCCACAGGTACAAGTTGTAACACTTGAGATTTAATATAAATGGATTAATAGTACTACTCATACCAACAGAGATGCATCTACTTTTAAGGGAGCTTATCACCCAAGAACTTCAAAGTTAAGCGTGCTTGCACGAGAGTAGTCTTGGGATGGGTGACCCCCTGGGAAGTTTCTCAGGGCGCGCACGAGTGAGGACAAAGTGCGCGGTAAAGGCTCGTGGTGGTTTGTGGGGACATGATAAGTCCGTATTTAGACACGCATTTGATGCGTGTTCGGGTTGGATTTTGATGATTTTCCTAGCTTTAAGGCGATGCAAGTCTCAATTTTGGCTCAAGTTGTGTTTAGCAGGCGTTGGATCAAGTTTCATTGCATTTGAAGTTGATTTGAAGAAGTTAGAGTCCGGCAATCGGCGCTTGAGAGGCATTCGGGAAGGATTTGAAGGCATTCGAGAAAGATTTGGAGGCCACCGGGAGATTCGTGACGAAATTCTGGTAAAGAAAGAGCATTTGGATCGACCTCGTAGGCATCCGGGAGCATTCGGAACAAGAAAACGAAGGAAAAGTGAAGAATAGGGTTAGGCACGCCGTGCCTGGCAGCTAGGCACGCCGTGCCTGAAACGTAAATTTTCCTGGGAGCTACTGGAGGCCAGGCACGCCGTGCCTGGAAGCTAGGCACGCCGTGCCTGGCATATTTCGAGGAAATTGGCTACTGGAAGCCAGGCACGGTCGTGCCTGGCAGTTAGGCACTCCGTGCCTGGACGCGAAATACGGATTTCTTCCGTAGGCACGGTCGCAGGCACGGTCGTGCCTGGCACCGTGCCTGGCCGCGATTTGTCCTAATTCGACCCGAATTCGTTGTTTTCTTTAAATAAGGCCCCCATAACCCCGTTTTGGGGGTTACGAACATTACGGAGAGGCCTAGGGACGAATTTAACACCGTTTTACGCTATTTTCTTCCAAGACCCTGGGATTATTTGTAAGTTCATCTTTTTAATTAATGACAATTATTTCTATTCATCCCAATTCTGTTGATTCTTCAATTATGAATTGTGAGTACTTTAATTAGGGATTTGGGATTGATGAAGGGGTTAATCATGATGTATGGTTAGATTCTTGTCGGTTTAATTGCATGAATGCCGTTTAATTTGTGTTTGAATAATTTAATTGATATCTCTTGTAACCTAGACTGCAGCTAGAATTACAATTGCATGTAGAATAAATTAAGAGAGATCTAATTTGTTCTAGGACACATTCACACACACTTAATCGTTCGCTAAGAGATTAGTAGCGATTAAGGGGCCGTAAGCTCGCTCGTCTTGGCAATAATTTAGGATCCTGTCGCATGAGAGATCAGCCTGGTCCCCTAAATTATTGTACTCTACGCCGCGAGAGCGGTAAGAACTTAGTAATGATTAGCTAGGCTCAATTAAATTAAATTCATGTAATTAGGCCTGATCTGCCAGAAATCTGGTTACCCCGGAATCAATCCCTGCTCCCTTCGTCGTTAATTGAGAAGAAAATAATCTTTTATTTTTATCGCGCATTAGCATTAGTTTTAATTTTAATTCAATCAATCAAATCTCGCACATCGCATTTTAATTTATTTATTTCTGTTTAATCGCTGAATTTAGTTAATCTTTATTTCCCTTTTGTCCGTCCCTGTGGAGACGATACTCGTACTTTACACCACTTTTCTACAACTATTTTAAGTGCGAGAAAATACACATCAGGACAGTACTATTGGTCCGGAGTAACTACTTCGGGTCCTGCGGGCCCGGGGTATTACAGGTAAATCTGTAACACCCCCATTTTCCCTCCCAAAATAATACTTGAAATAATAGATTTATTGATAATAAACTTGATTTATTCAAAACAGATGAAAAGTTTTGCAGCGGAAATAACATTAATAATAGAATAGTTATTGATTTAGAATTTTTATATATATTAGAAGGAGAGTTCAAGTGAAGACCAAGTTAGAGATTTTATTAAGGGGATTATTGCGATTTAAGGTAAGTTTCTCTGCCGATCCAAAATGATTTCCTAGTACTATATGTTATTATGTGATTAAATGTGAATTTTGAATTTGTATGTGATTTTGAGGAGATATTAGATCTATGGTATTTGAGAAGTGCAAACTAAGTACTTTTGGGTATTAAATATTTTTAAATACCTTTGAGACTATTTAGAGAGATTGAGAAATATTTTTGGAAGTATATCTAAAGTCAAGATAAAATTTACGTTTTCATAAGTGAGCACCCGGGAGAAATCCGTGGTGTCGGTTTTCCACATCCGGATAAATGTGGAGGGTGATTAAGGCTGCTACTACTAAGAAGTACAGTTTGAGTTTGAAGTGACAATTGGATCTATGATCCCTTTTAAGAAGAAGTTATAGTAGTAGTAGTCCCTAATCATTCAAGAATTCTAAAGGTGGGGTAGTTGGTAGACTGAGTCCCGATTACTCGTGACGACTTACTACTCGGAGGGCTTGGAATCCCTTTTAGGGGGTGTGCACACTTAAGGTAGTCGTTTCGTTTCCATTAGCAGTTGTGGTACCGGGAAAAGTCCCGGGGTGGCCGTACATAACAACGTAACCACCGGGCTCAACCAGAGTGTTGAGCACCGCCCTTCTAAATTACTAGGAAGATAGAGAAGAAGTGAATTTTGAGAAATTCTATTAGAAGAGTTACTATAGTATTTTCAAAGAAAAGTTGAGGACTTTATTAAAGAAGTGATTTTGAGAAATATCAAAGAGAAAAGAATTTTGGTGGAGTGTGTCATTTTTATATAGTACTATATGAAAAACTATATTTCGCCAAACCTGATTATTTTACGGGGTTGGGTAGTACTTACTTAGCTCTAAAGCTAATTTTTGTTTCTTTTTCCCTGTTTTGTTTTCGGCACTTTATTTGTGCAGGTGATGATGCTTATGTGGACTGATGATTGTATGACCACGAGAGCGGTTTAGAAATGCCTTAGTCAAACCTAGTCAAAAATTATAATTTAATTATGTCGAACACTTGTTTTATTCTGTTTTGTTTTGGGATTGCTTGTGCATTCGGTTAAGAGATGACAGGATGTGGCGGTAACACCCATTTCCCAATTAATGTTATTTCCGCTGCAAAACTTTTCATCTGTTTTGAATAAATCAAGTTTATTATCAATAAATCTATTATTTCAAGTATTATTTTGGGAGGGAAAATGGGGGTGTTACACAAGTCTTGTGGTTGAGGTTAACAACAAAAGATCTACAATAGCGATCCACAACTTCAAACTCGAAATATAAAGTTGATTTCACCTGATAGAAAGCATATAAAAAATACAGTTAAGAAATAATGAATGTAAGAAAACAAAAGCCAAGAGTCATATTCATAAACTGAAAGATGGCAATAAAGTGATACATACGAAAATATAACAACACTTATGGCAATAAGTTACAACCTCAATTAATGAAATAGGGAAAACACTGAAACCTGCATGCGTGTGGATTCAGCCTGCACAGTAACTAAATGGTTCTCGCCTTTGGGGGACAAGAAAATGGATGTTTTAAGGGCTTCCTCACTACTTTTCGTGAACCACTGTTGCATTCTTTCACGTAAAAAATCAACCAATTTACAAACTGAATACTCTCTAGCACAAACATTTACTTTGTTTAACGATTCTGCACAATTTGATGTCCTGATGCCATATCTGCGTGGACCAGCAACACACTTAGCTCATCTATGGTTACCAACTTTACTTAACCAAGGTCGGATTCTAGCATCTTCTGTGTCCAACATTGACAAATATTCCTCAAGTTCTTGCATAGTGTTTGCTGAATAAGCAGCTTTAAACTTCCATCCAAGACCATTGGCACCACTTCTGAATTTTGAAATCAAATTACGCCTCAGGTGTTCAACACAAAAGCCATGAAGAGCATGGGGGAAGACTTCAGCAGCAGCAGAGATTAAGCCTTTGTGGCGATCATACACTATATACATATCACTTCGCATAGAGATTGAACCACTCAACCTGCTTAGAAACCACAGCCAAGATGCTTTGGTTTCAAAATCACAGATTTCAAATGCCAAGGGAATGATGTGGTTGTTGGCATCTTGAGCACAGGCCGTAAGCAAAGTACCTTTGTAATATGCCTTCATGAACGAGCTATCTAAGATAAGTACAGGTCTACAAAACTCTCATGCTTCACGCCAAGGTTTTAATGAAAAGAAAAAATACTGAAATGCACCATCAGCAGCCGTTACAAGTTTTATGGTAGAATCTGGATTTGCTTCTTCAAGTACATACGCCATTGAAGGTAGCTTCTGGTATGACTCTGCATCAGATCCGAAATGCCTTTCCTTTGCACGTTTCTGTGCTTCCCAAGTTTTCTTGTACGACATAGAAATCCAATATTCCAAATTCATATCATGCTTGATCTGTTTTGGCGTATAAGGTTTAACAGAAGCATCCAAAAATTTGTGTGCCACAAGATTAGCAATAACACTAGGTGTTGAGTTTAATCCAACACGATATAGTAAATATATGTATGAACACTCAGTTTTTACGTGGAAACCCGAAAGGGAGAAAACCACGGGACTTTTTAGGCTAATGTCTAAGCCCTCTCATTCTCATTAGACTCTCCTCACCATTACATAGTACAATTTGAGCTCCCATTAATGGAGTATTGAGCTAAGTCTAAAAGAAGAAGGAAGATGGAGCTAAAAGAGCATCCTTTACATGGAGGGAAAGCCTCCTATAAATAGGGAAAGGGGTGAGGGAAGTACTCCACCCTAATGGGCCAAACGGGCCGATGTCGGGCCTAATGGCCAAAGTGGGCCGGACGGGCCGAAATGGGCCTAGCTGCTCGGGCTCCGTACTGGATAATGTCTTGGGCTCCTGAATAGTAATAGGCCGGGATAATATATCCCAACACAAGTCCCCCAGTTTCTTGAGTAGTGAGCTCGCGAATCTGCTCGAGAAAATATACTCTGCCTGCGCTCTTCCTCTGTCTTGCTGGAAACTGTGTCTTCACATAATCATAATATATGAGTGAGTGTCTGCACTCCTGAACGTAATCTACCAGTGAGGCACCCCCCTTTCCGACAGGGTCGGGCGAAGGGTGCTCCTCCACGGGCACACTCCCCCTGAATGCATCAGGCGGGAGTAAAGCACTCTGACTCGAGCTTTCCAATCGGAGAAGCTTAGAGGTCCATGCATCTATAAACCGACGTTCATAGGGGGACGAGGCCGGTCTCCAAATATGATGATCATGCTGTGCCGAGGGGCCGGTCATGATGTAATGATGGCATCAGACGGCCCTCGGCCGTGACGATCTCTTCTAGGCCCTCGGCCTCTGAATGACGGGTGATCGTCTCACGGTTCTCTGTCATGGCATTCGCCTCTAGACCCTCGGCCTCTAGGTGTTCTTCCTAGGCCATCGGTCTCTGGCGTGGAGATGCTTGTCCCACAGTTCTCAACTGTGGTGGTCTCCTCTAGGCCCTCGGCCTCTGGGTGGAGATGCTCATCTCTCGGCTCTCAGCCGTGATGGTCTCCTCTTTAGCTGGCCCTGAACGCCTTTGAGACTCAGGTCGAGCGTCTTTTAATCATTTCGCTCGATCACGTCGAGTGGCTTCAGCTGCGTAACTAACATGGTAACGGGCCGCACGGCCCGACAATAAATATGCACACATAACCATTTGCATGGCTTTCTCTTTAACATCCACGATTACCGGCCTATGGGTCATCGTGACCCTCGGCCCGGCTCATCGTGCGGGGTTAATGGACGTAGCAGCTCGCGGCGGGGCCAATTAGCAGCCCGCCGAACGTCACATAGAGATAATCACTGGTCTGTGAGTTTGAAAACTCAGACCCAAGTTGGTCGCACTGCCCTCGAAAAGACGAGGTTGAGCGCTTCGGTGCCCTCGGGCCCCATAGGCCACGTTTGGCAATAGTCACTTCGCGCCTAGCGGCGCGGATGGTTCTGGGGTACGGTCGTCGATCGGGCACGTAGTGCCGTGTGGACTAATGCGCAACCCTCCAATTAAAGTGCGTCGTCGGGGCATCGCCCTTCTGGAGACGCTCGGATAACTTAATCAAAGCTGATCGAGAGTAGGCTAATCGAACCCACCAACAATTAAATATTTTAATAAAAAAGTTGGCTGAACTAATTATCACTAGAGCTTCACTCTGCATTATTTAATTTCGGGACATTTTTATCCCTAATAAATAATAGTGATGTACGGGTAGTAATAATAGTATTATCCTACCATAAGTCATTCAGATACACTCCGTTCGCTAATTAAAGCTGATCGGGAGCGGGCCAACGGGCCCAGAACAACCAGTCATCTAATTTAAATGGCGGTGAAGCTATTTATCACTTAGAGAATCGCTCGACATTATTTAATTTCGGGAAAATTTACTCCCTTTTAAATAATGGTGATAAAAACTAATTAACTAATAATAATATTAGTATCTCAATACGGAGCACTTAAAATAGGAGTAAGATAAGTTACTTTGCTTCTAGAGTCATGAGTGGAGTGTTGACCGCCCAAAATAATACACGGTGCTCCATCTTTACTGCCAACTCCCCTTTAGACTTTGGCCCTTCGTACGTGGACCGCTCTCAACCGCAGATTATACCGTGGGATCGACCCAGCGTGCGCAGGGTGTGCCGATCCCTAAGCGGCATCGTTTTATTTAAAAAAAAAATCGATCTTCTTCCTTCCCAACTTTTCGGCAGGCCGTTTCTCCGCAGATTCAATTTAGGGACATGGAAAATCATTGGAGCCCCCGTTGGATGTATCTAGATTCGTGCAGCTCAAATCCCCAACCAATCAAAAAAAGTTCTCTCTTCGCTTCTTTGAATCGTGAATTGACACCCCCAGCCCTGAAGAGAAAGCTCGGTTAGCTGCTGAAGAATAGTGCTCTTTGATTTTGTGGAAAGAATTAGGGAAGGGAAGCTTACTGCTTTTTTATGGAGTAATTGGTTTGGATGCGTATGGTGATATGGAGTAATTGGTTTATATGTATATTAATTAATACATGGAATTACATATTTTTATATGTGAGTTACATTTTTTAAAGTTACATCTTTTTAGAAGTGAGTTACATCTTCTGAAGCGCGAGTTACATTTGTAATAACATGAGTTACATAATAAAAAATCTGGTATTCAAACAAAAAAAATGATTTTTTTAAAAATCCTTTATCAGGTCATGATATTAAAAACCAAACATATTTAAGATTTACATAAAGTAATTGTGCAACTAAACTCTCTTTTTCATTGTTTACATTGAAAAAGAGAGTTACATTTCGAATGAACTTGAGTTACATTGATCAATAACGTGAGTTACATATCTTTACACGCGAGTTACATCATTCATATTATTGGGCCAAAAAAATAGTTATTGTACACGCGTGTACTGTTCACGCGTTACTGTTCACACGAATTTTTTTTAAAAAAATTGTGCAAAACTACGTCGTTTTGGGTGTGGGAGCACGGTGCTCACCGTGGGGTGATACCACGGTATACGAACTCGCTCTCAACCAAGTGAAGAGCTTCTTGTGGACAGGCAGATGGAACACCCCACCAAGGCCAAACCGTACAGGTCGGTCGCTGACTGACGGTCGCAGTGGAAGCTGCCGCGATGCACAGGCTGCCGGAAAAGTAGGTTGCGTTGGAAGGTCGCCCGGGCTCCGAAACATACCTTCACCAACTTCCAAACCTCCATTAATGGAGGCAACCAAGGAGCTCTCATACGGCATATTCCCTTGGTCGCGTCGGCAGGGTCGTGGAAGCTCGAGCCGCGACTGACCAGGGGGAGGAGTGACTAGCAGTTGACCAGCGACGACGAGGACGGCGGTGTGGTGACTCAGGCGGTAGCCGGTTGAACGGGATGCTAGCCATGAGCGTCTCTGTTGCAGGGGGTTCTGACCAGAGGACGGGACGACGAGAACTGGGGCATTGCAGCGAGTTCCGTCTGGTGCAGGTACCCATCGAAGGTTCCATGGCGGCGGGGACGGTGACGGTGACGGCGGCTCCGGCGACCCCGGAAACGAGAATCTGGAAAAAAAAATACACGCTTCCCAGATTTCGTAGCTTCCTGGCTTCCCCAAGAAAAGATTTCTTTGGTCATGTCGAACCTTCTTCCTCCTGCTTACTTTCCAGAATCTTTATTCTTTGTTTTTTTGTTGAAATCAATAGTTGTTCGTATGAATTTTTTGTAGAAAAAACTCAAGAATGGTAGAACACACGAATCTTTTTGGACAGATTCCCACAGACGGCGCCAGTGTTGAGTTTAATCCAACACGATATAGTAAATATATGTATGAACACTCAGTTTTTACGTGGAAACCCGAAAGGGAGAAAACCACGGGACTTTTTAGGCTAATGTCCGAGCCCTCTCATTCTCATTAGACTCTCCTCACCATTACATAGTACAATTTGAGCTCCCATTAATGGAGTATTGAGCTAAGTCTAAAAGAAGAAGGAAGATGGAGCTAAAAGAGCATCCTTTACATGGAGGGAAAGCCTCCTATAAATAGGGAAAGGGGTGAGGGAAGTACTCGACCCTAATGGGCCAAATGGGCCGATGTCGGGCCTAATGGCCAAAGTGGGCCGGACGGGCCGAAATGGGCCTAGCTGCTCGGGCTCCGTACTGGATAATGTCTTGGGCTCCTGAACAGTAATAGGCCGGGATAATATATCCCAACACAAGTCCCCCAGTTTCTTGAGTAGTGAGCTCGCGAATCTGCTCGAGAAAATATACTCTGCCTGCGCTCTTCCTCTGTGTTGCTGGAAACTGTGTCTTCACATAATCATAATATATGAGTGAGTGTCTGCACTCCTGAACGTAATCTACCAGTGAGGCACCCCCCTTCCGACAGGGTCGGGCGAAGGGTGCTCCTCCACGGGCACACTCCCCCTGAATGCATCAGGCGGGAGTAAAGCACTCTGACTCGAGCTTTCCAATCGGAGACACGATGGCGCTGAGAAGCCGATCGTGCTGCATAAGACGGTCGTCGCCATCCTGGAGGGAATGGGCGAGCCGAACTGTGAAGCCAGGTACGATGGCGCTGAGGGGCCGATCGCACTGCATAAGACGTTCGTCGCCATCCTGGAGGGAATGGGGCGATCCGAACGTGAAAGAGACACGATGGCGCTGAGAAGATGATCGTGCTGCATAAGACGGTCATCGCCATCCTGGAGGGAATGGGCGAGCCGAACCGTGAAGCCAGGTACGATGGCGCTGAGGGGCCGATCGCACTGCATAAGACGTTCGTCGCCATCCTGGAGGGAATGGGGCGATCTGAACGTGAAAGAGACACGATGGCGCTAAGAAGCCGATCGTGCTGCATAAGTCGGTCATCGCCATCCTGGAGGGAATGGGCGAGCCGAACCGTGAAACCAGGTACGATGGCGCTGAGGGGCCGATCGCACTGCATAAGACGTTCGTCGCCACCCTGGAAGGGATGGACGCGCTGAACGCGAGCTGGGTACGATGGCGCTGAGGGGCCGATCGCACTGCATAAGACGTTCGTCGCCATCCTGGAGGGAATGGGGCGATCCAAACGTGAAAGAGACACGATGGCGCTGAGAAGCCAATCGTGCTGCATAAGACGGTCATCGCCATCCTGGAGGGAATGGGCGAGCCGAACCGTGAAACCAGGTACGATGGCGAGGAGGGGGCCGACCGCACTGCATAAGACGTTCGTCGCCACCCTGGAAGGGATGGACGAGCTAAACGCGAGCTGGGTATGATGGCGCTGAGGGGCCGATCGTACTGCATAAGACGGTCGTCGCCATCCTGGAGGGAGTGGGCGAGCCGAACCGTGAATCTGGACATGATGGTGCTGAGAGGCCGATCGTGATGCATAAGACGTTCGTCGCCACCCTGGAAGGGATGGACGAGCTGAACGTGAGCTGGGTACGATGGCGCTGAGGGGCCGATCGTACCGCATAAGATGGTCGTCGCCATCCTGGAGGGGGATGGGCGAGCCGAACCGTGAAATCTAGGCGCGGTCCGTCTTGGCTGGCTATGAGAAACCGATCGTCTGTCAGGACTTCATCCTGGGAGGAAGGGTGGACCTGGGCGTCGTCCCTCTGTCTGATCTGGGGAGCTGGTATTCGTCGTCCAAGGCAAAAGAAAACCTGATGTTAGCCGATCGTCGTCGGCCACTTCATTCTTCGTACTTAAGTTTTGTAATTATTCTTTACATATGTTTTTCAGTTTGTACTTCCCGGTCAATAGCGCTGAGGGATAAAATCATTCTTTGCTCCGTGCTCTTCTGGCATCTTTTTTTTTGGAGTCTTTTAGTCTTCGTTCGTCCTTGGTTCTTGGTCCTACCGGCGTCCTTACTTCGAAGAGACGTCCGGTATCCTCAAAACTCGCAAGGAGGAACAGGTTTATCTGCATCGAGATTCCCCCCTTTTCATTCGTCCGTGGTCCTTTTAGTCCTACCGGCGTCTCTTGCTTCGAAGAGGACGTTCGGTATCCAAGGAACTCGCAGGGACGAACTGGTTTACCCTCACGGGTTCCCGGCTTTGTTATCCCACGCCCATCGATCCATGGTCATCGTGGGATGAACAGGTTTATCTTGGCAAGGCTCCCTTGGTTCGTCTAGCCCCCTCTACGTCTCTACTAACCTCTATATCAAGAGGCGTTCGTCTTCGGCGGTGGGAGAAGATGTGGCACACCCGGGCAAGATTCCCTTCCACATAGGAGCTCACCTCCTCTTCTCCCCATCTGTTTTTTTGTTTGAGGGAGGCAATCTATATTCTTGGTTCGTCCTTGGTTCTTGGTCCTACCGGCGCTCTTGCTTCGAAGAGACGTTCGGTACCAGCGAAACTCGCAAGGAGGAACAGGTTTATCTACATCGAGATTCCCTAGCTCTTCTTTGTCCGTCCCTGGTCCGTGGTCCTACCGATCTTCCTACATCGAAGAAGACATTCGGTATCCAAGAAACTCGCAGGGATCACGGGATGTCACACATAATGGTGGTGGCATAGCGAACGAATATAACGACGAGGCGATAGAATAGCTGGTCGTCATGCAAAGGCGATGGTAACCCTCCTGGAGGGGAGGGGTGAGCCTGATCGCTAACTCAAGAAGGTCGGCGTTGGGAGCCGATATACAATGATCATAATGTCGCTGAGCAGTCGGTCCTGATAAGGAGATGACAATAGTGTCTGGTCAGGCCGATATATCCGTGCAACGGCTCTCATCCAACGCATCGCGGGGATGGAACCGGTCTTCAAAAGATAAGTATGTCGTGCCGAGAGGCCGAACATGATGTGATAGTGTCGGCAATGAGGGGCCGACCTGAAAGAATCAAACAACGGTCCTCGTCCGCGATGTGGCGGGGACGAGGCCGGTCTTCAAAAGATAAGCACGCCGAGCCGAGAGGCCGGTCGTGGTATGATGATGTCGGCGATGAGAGGCCGAACATGATGTGATAGTGTCGGCACTGAGGGACCGACCTGCAATCCAGCAACAGCTCTCATCCGCGCAGTGCGGGGATGAGGCCGGTCTTCAAAACATAAATATGTCGTGCCGAGAGGCCGGACATAACATGATAGTGTCGGCAGTGAGAGGCCGACCTGAAAGAATCAAACAACGGTCCTCGTCCGCGATGTGGCGGGGACGAGGCCGGTCTTCAAAAGATAAGCACGCCGAGTCGAGAGGCCGGTCGTGGTATGATGATGTCGGCGATGAGAGGCCGAACATGATGTGATAGTGTCGGCACTGAGGGGCCGACCTGCAATCCAGCAACGGCTCTCATCCGCGCAGTGCGGGGATGAGGCCGGTCTTCAAAAGATAAACACGCCGAGCCGAGAGGCCGGTCATGATATAATGAAGTCGGCAACGGGAGACCGATCTGAAATCAAGCAACGGTCCTCATCCGCGCATCGCGGGGACGAGGCCGGTCTTCAAATAAGATAATCACGCCGTGCCGAGAGGCCGGTCGTGATATAATGATGTCGGCAATGAGAGGCCGACCTAAAATCAAGCAACGGTCCTCATCCGCGCAGCGCGGGGACGAGGCCGGTCTTCAAAAGATAAACACGCCGTGCCGAGAGGCCGGTCGTGATATAATGATGTCGGCAATGAGAGGTTGACCTGAAATCCAAGCAGCGGTCCTCATCCGCGAAGTGCGGGGACGAGGCCGGTCTTCAAATATGATGATCATGCTGTGCCGAGGGGCCGGTCATGATGTAATGATGGCATCAGACGGCCCTCGGCCGTGACGATCTCTTCTAGGCCCTCAGCCTCTGAATGACGGGTGATCGTCTCACGGTTCTCTGTCATGGCATTCGCCTCTAGACCCTCGGCCTCTAGGTGTTCTTCCTAGGCCATCGGTCTCTGGCGTGGAGATGCTTGTCCCACAGTTCTCAACTGTGGTGGTCTCCTCTAGGCCCTCGGCCTCTGGGTGGAGATGCTCATCTCTCGGCTCTCAGTTGTGATGGTCTCCTCTTTAGCTGGCCCTGAACGCCTTTGAGACTCAGGTCGAGCGTCTTTTAATCATTTCGCTCGATCACGTCGAGTGGCTTCAGCTGCGTAACTAACATGGTAACGGGCCGCACGGCCCGACAATAAATATGCACACATAACCATTTGCATGGCTTTCTCTTTAACATCCACGATTACCGGCCTATGGGTCATCGTGACCCTCGGCCCGGCTCATCGTGCGGGGTTAATGGACGTAGCAGCTCGCGGCGGGGCCAATTAGCAGCCCGCCGAACGTCACATAGAGATAATCACTGGTCTGTGAGTTTGAAAACTCAGACCCAAGTTGGTCGCACTGCCCTCGAAAAGACGAGGTTGAGCGCTTCGGTGCCCTCGGGCCCCATAGGCCACGTTTGGCAATAGTCACTTCGCGCCTAGCGGCGCGGATGGTTCTGGGGTACGGTCGTCGATCGGGCACGTAGTGCCGTGTAGGGGTGGGATTTTGGAACCGGGAACCGTAGAACCGATTGGAACCGAACCGTTAACAACATCTAGAAACCGAACCGTTAACAATTAATGCCTCATTTGTAGGAACCGAACCGAAGCGGGTTATAACGGTTCGGTTCCCGGTTCCTATAAAAAATATGTGCATGGAACCGTTAAGGAACCGTTATAAAAAAAAATAAAAAAAAAATATTAGTAGTAGTAGTAGTAGTAGTAGTAGTAATAATAATAATAATAATAATAATAATAATAATAATAATAATAATAATAATAATAATAATAATAATAATAATAATAATAATAATAATAATAATAATAATAATAATAATAATAATAATAATAATAATAAGGGAAAAATAAATAAAATACCCCGAACTTTGAAGGAGTGTGAGATAAACACCCCAAACTTTCATATGTAATTTAAATACCCCAAACTTTATATAAAAAGTTATTTTAGCACCATGATCATATATTATTTTTTTCAAAAATAGAAATTTATGGTGTTAATTGCATAATTCAAAATAGTAAATTAAAAATGTTGCAATTATATAGAGTGGGAGGAAGTAGTATTTTTTATTTACAACGGAAGTTTAGAATGTTAATTGTATGTTCATGAATGCTAAAATATTTTAAATTATCAAATTAACACCAAAAATTAACATTTTTAAAGAAATAAACATGAAAATGGTGCTAAAATAACTTTTTATAAAAAGTTCAGGGTATTTAAATTACATATGCAAGTTTGGGGTGCTTATCTCACACCCCCTCAAAGTTTGGGGTATTTTAATTATTTTTCCCTAATAATAATAATAATAATATAATAGCAATAATAACCACCACCAAAAACAACTATAAGAAAACAATATAAGATATTTAACTAACAATTCTAATTTAATCAACGGAAAAGAAGTAATAAATATTGTACAAGAGGTTGATATAATACATTAAACTCCTTTCTACAAATCAAGTTTTGTTCCATCATATAAATTTTATAAATACTCCGTATAAAATAACCCAAATTATTTGTAGTTGATTGCACATATTTTACTTTACTATTTTCATGATATTTCTAATTATTAGCTTTATTATGAATCAATAGAATGTAATAATGTTTTTTTATATTTATACATGCAAACTCAATGTCTTTTTTTATGCTTTGAAAGACTTGAAGTAGGCGTCCTATTCTTGCTACTATGATGACGAGTAACCTTCATCACTCCGACACTACAACGATTTTTAATGTTTCATTTGTTACATGAAAATTTAAATCACTTTTGTTCTATTATGTGTTCAAAGTTCATTAGTTAAGTTTGAGGTTTGGTGTTTGAAGTGATTAGAGCTTGAAATAAAATTTTAATACACGTGTTTTGAATTTTCGACGTGTTTATATTATTTGTAGAAAATAAATTATGTGTTGATTTTTAGACGAGAAAAAATTATTCTAGGAACCAGTAAAAGGAAGAACCGAACCGTTTACTACCGGTTCGGTTCCATAACGGTTCTTGATTTTTTATATAAGAACCGAACCGATTTCATTAGTTAAAACTTTTATAACGGTTCCACTCATTTTGAGTAAGAACCGAACCGGTCCCAGCCCTAGTGCCGTGTGGACTAATGCGCAACCCTCCAATTAAAGTGCGTCGTCGGGGCATCGCCCTTCTGGAGACGCTCGGATCACTTAATCAAAGCTGATCGAGAGTAGGCTAATCGAACCCACCAATAATTAAATATTTTAATAAAAAAGTTGGCTGAACTAATTATCACTAGAGCTTCACTCTGCATTATTTAATTTCGGGACATTTTTATCCCTAATAAATACTCCCTCCGTCCCTTAAAACTTTGCCAACTTACCTTTTTTGGTTGTCCCAATAACTTTGCCACTTTCTATTTTAAGTAAACAATTTGTGGTTCCAGTTAATTCTCTCTCCTCTGCACAAACCTCAACCACACAGTTTTTACTTTATTAATCTCTGTGTCGGTCAAACTTAGCAAAGTTTTAAGGGACGGAGGTAGTAATAGTGATGTACGGGTAGTAATAATAGTATTATCCTACCATAAGTCATTCAGATACGCTCCGTTCGCTAATTAAAGCTGATCGGGAGCGGGCCAACGGGCCCAGAACAACCAGTCATCTAATTTAAATGGCGGTGAAGCTATTTATCACTTAGAGCATCGCTCGACATTATTTAATTTCGGGAAAATTTACTCCCTTTTAAATAATGGTGATAAAAACTAATTAACTAATAATAATATTAGTATCTCAATACGGAGCACTTAAAATAGGAGTAAGATAAGTTACTTTGCTTCTAGAGTCATGAGTGGAGTGTTGACCGCCCAAAATAATACACGGTGCTCCATCTTTACTGCCAACTCCCCTTTAGACTTTGGCCCTTCGTACGTGGACCGCTCTCAACCAAGTGAAGAGCTTCTTGTGGACAGGCAGATGGAACACCCCACCAAGGCCAAACCGTACAGGTCGGTCGCTGACTGACGGTCACAGTGGAAGCTGCCGCGATGCACAGGCTGCCGGAAAAGTAGGTTGCGTTGGAAGGTCGCCCGGGCTCCGAAACATACCTTCACCAACTTCCAAACCTCCATTAATGGAGGCAACCAAGGAGCTCTCATACGGCATATTCCCTTGGTCGCGTCGGCAGGGTCGTGGAAGCTCGAGTCGCGACTGACCAGGGGGAGGAGTGACTAGCAGTTGACCAGCGACGACGAGGACGGCGGTGTGGTGACTCAGGCGGTAGCCGGTTGAACGGGATGCTAGCCATGAGCGTCTCTGTTGCAGGGGGTTCTGACCAGAGGACGGGACGACGAGAACTGGGGCATCGCAGCGAGTTCCGTCTGGTGCAGGTACCCATCGAAGGTTCCATGGCGGCGGGGACGGTGACGGTGACGGCGGCTCCGGCGACCCCAGAAACGAGAATCTGAAAAAAAAATACACGCTTCCCAGATTTCGTAGCTTCCTGGCTTCCCCAAGAAAAGATTTCTTTGGTCATGTCGAACCTTCTTCCTCCTGCTTACTTTCCAGAATCTTTATTCTTTGTTTTTTTGTTGAAATCAATAGTTGTTCGTATGAATTTTTTGTAGAAAAAACTCAAGAATGGTAGAACACACGAATCTTTTTGGACAGATTTCCACAGACGGCGCCAGTGTTGAGTTTAATCCAACACGATATAGTAAATATATGTATGAACACTCAGTTTTTACGTGGAAACCCGAAAGGGAGAAAACCACGGGACTTTTTAGGCTAATGTCCAAGCCCTCTCATTCTCATTAGACTCTCCTCACCATTACATAGTACAATTCGAGCTCCCATTAATGGAGTATTGAGCTAAGTCTAAAAGAAGAAGGAAGATGGAGCTAAAAGAGCATCCTTTACATGGAGGGAAAGCCTCCTATAAATAGGGAAAGGGGTGAGGGAAGTACTCCACCCTAATGGGCCAAACGGGCCGATGTCGGGCCTAATGGCCAAAGTGGGCCGGACGGGCCGAAATGGGCCTAGCTGCTCGGGCTCCGTACTGGATAATGTCTTGGGCTCCTGAACAGTAATAAGCCGGGATAATATATCCCAACACTAGATGTTGCATGTCTACTATTAAATTGTCTATAGTCAACAGAGAAAGTGTGTACAACATCAAACCTGCAACAATAACAATAGGTAAACGTTCATAAATGCAATTGAAGACAAAGAACAAAATGTTATCACATAATACAAAAAATGAGAAAAACAAAAAATATTAGATATGAGTTAGCATGACAACATACCTTCTAATCTCAAACATTTGTACACCATCTAATCTGACTGCATGAACTGCCCACTCACACGACGGATCCAAACAAATAACATGTAATTCCTTCTTCTTTGATGTCAGAGTTCTGAATTGGAAACTGTTGGTGATGATATACAACTTTAAATGATGAAGTAAGTCAGCCTTGTTCGTGTAAATAGTATTAATCATAACACATGTTGGATGATAATGACTAATTATGTCAACAGGGTGGTTAACAGAGGCAGACTGTAAGGATAATGATTTGGAACCAACACCAGAAAAATTAGGCAAAATAGTTGAGGATGAAATGTTGCCTTCTGAGGAAGAGCAAAACTCATCTTCTTCATCAATGGAAGCCAAATTGCTATGCAACCCATTCCATTGATTACTACAATCAGAGTCACTCACATGCAAAGACAATGAAGATGTAGTAGAACCATGTGCAACCGAGTTATGAAGTGGTACAAAATCATGAAGCACAGAAACAGTTTCAGACTTAAACTCCACACATAGGGGTAACTTTGCAACATCCGACTGCAAACACTTCATATAAAGATAGAATTTCAAAGTTTCATCATCAACAATAAAAACAGGAGGGGCAACCATCAACCATATAAGAAATCCTGAATGAATGATTTGGTTTGTACTGATTTAAGATTCCACGCAGCAGATCAAGCAAGCTCGTGTAGGAAGAATGAAGTCCAATATGAATACCAAATGTATCTAAACTTGAAAATGTATAGTCAAACAACCATGTACCGTCCAACTTAAGCATAACAAGCAACACATCAGCCATTTGTAGAAATTAATGCCTAAAAAACAATGAAAAGTTCAGCAACACAACATAATACATGAATCAGTATAATAAAACTGTTATTATGACATTTAATGCCAACCAAAGAGTAGCTAACAATGACATAAAACAAATGAAGTAATGGAAAAATTAAAAACGATAATCAAAAAACATCGAATCACAATGTAAATCACTAATTGAACAACAAAAATCGAAATTCTTACACAAGAAATTTACAAACCAAAAAAATCATAAAACAAATGCGAATTACATTAAAACTAAACTGAAACTATCAGAATTCAGTTGCGAAACACATATATGCACAATTACATATCATCAGCATTCAGGAATATTAGCAGAACATTCGAAGAAAGATGTAATCAATATTCCAGAAAATCAAGCAGTAAGCTTACCTGCGAAAAACGCATGGGACAAGTATGCGTAATGTGAATGAAAACAACTAAATTCGCAAAATCAGAAGCAATGGCAAGTCGGAAGAGAGGAAAGAGCCGAGACGATCCTTAAGAATGTTAATCACAGACGGAAGAACGAAATAAGGAAAGAAATATTGAAAGCTGCGCAGGAAATCTCCAACCGGAAGAAACGGTTAGAAACAAGTTGCTTATGTGGCAATGCTTCCGTGTAAAGTAAGGGCATTTAAGGAAGAAAATAAAAAAAATAGCGTATGGCGGCAGACAACAACTCTTATTAATGCACTTTCCATATGTTTAACTCCCATTGAGGGTAATTTCTTAAAACATACGGAGTACGTGCTAATATTCTAATAATGAATTCCAAGTGTCCAAGAGGCTTCATTATCATATACTTCCCCTCTGTTCGAATTTAAATGCAACACTACCTCTGGCGCAGTAAGAAACTTTAGTAAAGTGTTGTCTTCCCACTTTACCCTTAATGACACATGGCTATTATTACAGCGAGAGAAACAATGAACTGTCAGGCTACTCTAGCGGCCTACGGTGTTCCTTCTTCTTTAATCTCTTCCGGCCAAATGCCCAAATCAGTTAAAAGTGTAAGGACGTACAGTGACTTAAATTTGCTGTTCTTTTAGTCCGATCCTGAAAGGAAGTTGCCGGCGAAAACAATTTTGTATCTTTGTTGTTGACGGTTTGTCTCCATATATTGCTTAAAAAGACAATGAAAAACATTCTGATAAAAGAAAAAAGATGATTGGAAAGAAATTGAAGAAAGAAACAATAGTTCTTCACATGGAAGAACAACAAAAAGCATGAGTTGACGGGTCTGATTCACGCAGAGTATAGCTACAAGAAAAAAGTGGAAGAAGATGATAGAGATAAGAAGCAAATGGGGGAACGTGGCTATTAGGAAAAAATCAATTGTTATGACCCATGAGTGGGTGAGATAAATTTGGGTGCAGAGAGATTGATTGTGCGGTTGTGAGTGGAGAGGGGTATGGTAGTCATTGAGCCTATATTTTCTTACCAAAAATAGAATGTTGCAATTATTTTGAAACTTCCGAAAAAGATAAGTGTTGCATTTATTAAAGAACGGGGGAAGTACTACGTACTCCTTAAAAAAGACTAGATGGGGACTCGAACATTTATCTTATGGTTAAATAGTAAATATCTAACCGTGAAGCATTAATGACAAGTTTATTTCATTTCTTTTAGAGCAACCACAGTGCGGTCCTTTCTAGTGTAGAAATAGTGTGCCATGTCATCGTTTGAGACATTGTCTATTAAAATTGACTTCCAACGCACCTAGTCTCTCGTTCATTTATGATGAGTTGGCAAAAATTAATTAAACACTGTGAAGACAAATAGTTTGAGTGTAGAAAGCCTTCATGACTTGCTGACTAGACATATTGCACTACACCAAGCCGTCTGCGGATTGCCTCTTGAATACTGCTGCACTTTAATACACACACACACACATACGGAGTATGTATTTCTGCCGTGAAATCTTTTGAATGATGCATATGAGTAGCACCACCAATCCGACAATATCGTCTATGGCGATGTCGGAAATTTTCGGCGAAGGCTTCAGGTTGTGGCGGCTTTGTTGTTGACGGCGACTACAACTTCCTTGCCAGGGCCGGTCCTAGGGGGTGCAACAGGGGCGACCGCCCTAGGCCCAAGAAAATAACAAGAAAAAATAGGCCCAAAAATATTTCTTTATATGTAGTGTGAGTAGACTTCTTTTTGTAATTTTTAAACTCAATTAATTAGGCCCAAGGTTTAATTTTTAAAATAAATGTAAAGTGGAACGTCTGTCTTAATTGTCCATCCAAATTGATTTGTTGTTTCCGGATTCCAAAATCAACAAGATTAAAGAATGCTGCAAATCAGTGAGTGCCTCGGCGATTTGTTAAGATGCCAATCAATCAAGGAGACCAAACGGCGATCAATGACCAAAAATCTTCTTCTTTCAAGGCTTCAAACAATCAATAATGACCAATAAACCATTCTTGATAAAATGGGTAAATCAGGTTGGGATAAAGAGAGAAAGAGGAAAAGATTAGAAAATGTAGGCTTAAGTTAGAAGGGGTCAATGGAAAAATTTGTTTTTGTTAAAAAATTGAATCTTCAAAATTCTGTGAGAAACGTTTTGAAATAATATTTTTCAAAGTTAAAGATTCTGATGAATTATTTGCGATTGACTATGTCTCAAGAAAGACTTAATGGGTTAGCAATTTTAAGTACTGAACATGAGATAAAGGAAAAGGCTGATTATGAAGCAATTATTGATGATTTTGCTTCACAATGTTCTGTGAGAAAGATCTTTGAGTAATATTTTTCTTTTATGTAATACTTGTGTTGTTACTTTTCACCAAATATGTATTTTAAATGATAACAATTAAATGATATTTTATTTTATTTTATGACCTTTATTAGATAATTTTATTATAATTATTATTTTAAATAAGTATAGTTTATTGTTTGTCTTGAATATAACCCCAAAATATTATCTCGCCCATAGGCTCGAAAATAGGCAGGACCGGCCCCGTTTCTTGCCGATCTTATTTTTGTTAGACCAAAAGGACAACGAGACGAGGCACTACGTAGTTCTCCGTGTATATTAATTATTATTAATTACTACCTCCGTCCCAAAAAACTTTGCCATTTCCAAAAAATTGAACCTTAATTTTGATTAGTATAATATTATGTAAGTTATAAATTTTATACTTTTATGAAAGTACTCTTAACAAAGAATATGTTCATATAACTTTTATATTATAAATCATTTTCAATAAAAAGATATAGCCGGTCAAAGTTTTGAAAATGACAAAGTTTTTTGGGACGGAGGTAGTATTAATTACTACCTAGTTTGGTAGAGCGATAGAATCTTCTCTGAGATGGAAACAATAGCAATCCAAGATGGAGTTTCTTTTAGTTTCTTTTAAATTTGTAGGTAGCAGCAGATTTAATATTTCTTTTAACATACGGATCAGAGTAATAAAATTCCAAGCAGACGCCGAACAGTTTTGCATTGGAACCCTTTTTTATAGTCTAATATCTAGTCATTCCATTTCCTATTATTTGGGTTAGAAAGTCTATTATTTATTTGACATGTGGAACGGTTTTTTCCAGACTAGACAGCATGGATTGGGGATGTTCTTAGTATGCCAGACTAATTGCATGTCAATTAGTCTTGCATCAAAATTGCTAGTTGTCTTTTTCTTCAAAGCCACCACTAGTCGATAGCTATGGTTCATGAAATGAAGAATTTGGTACTGGATAAATCAAAGGTGGAGGTTGCATAAATCTTCTTGCCAGGTTGGAATTTTACAGCTCTCATTGGAATCAATATGTCACTCTCTAAATCACGCATAACTCTGATGTTATTCTTCATTTTATTTTATTCTTATTTTGCTCTCTAATAACATGTATGCTAACCTGGTCCTTTATACGGAGTAATATCATAAAAAAACTTGGGCTTTATACTACTACGTATTTTGGTCATATATGATTTATAGTTGACTTGTATTTTGTTATTATCAATATATAAAATACAGGACATTCCCCTTCGCCAAAGAAGGTTATTTTAATCTAGCAATTGATAGGTGTAGGTGTAAGAGCATCCACAATGGTGATGGGTTTTGATCCCCTCCTCTCTCTTCACATCATTTCCCACAAAAAACTTAATCATCTCTAACCTTTCATACTTTCTTCCCACTTTGGTGATCTAGGTCACTTAAAATTTGTACATTCTCTCTCCATATTTTTGGTATATTCCACCATTATTAATTTATATAATTTGAAAATGGAATATAAAATCCACATTTGACCCACTATTATTATTTATTGTTGACATTATATCTAGGTAGAGAACGGGTTGGATCCATTTTCAGAGGAAAAATATATTCTAAAAAAGATAAAATAAGATGCAAGAGGGAAAGAAGTGGTAAATTTCGAAGTGACTAAACATATCCTTCATTAGTGTCTATTTATAAAGGGGAAAAAACTAATTTTGTGGTATAACTTGTTTTTTACAACAAATTAAATTTAATGAATAATAAATGAAATTTGGGAGTTGGGGGATAGTTGATGGGGTTGGTGACTATCTTTTCCATTTGGCTTTCTCTCATTGGCTAGACCGCTAGATAAGAAATGGTAGATCCCATTTTTGACGGACCAACTTAATCAAGCACTTTGTGATCTTCCATAGTGGGTGTCAACCCCCGCCACTTTTTTTAATCTAACTTGACCTTCCACAATGGATGGCCTAATTGACTGACACTCGACATGCATATCCCATGTACATGTGATATTATGATCCGTACACAAATGAATAGCAATTAGGGGTGGACAAAAATACCGAAAAATCAGTGTATTGCCGCACTTAACGTACCGAAAAATACCGCAAAATACCGAAATATTGGTATACCATCATTTTAAGTACGGTGTCATATGTAACGGTAAATGTTTTCAAATACCGCGGTATACCGGTATAATACCGTACCGACTCCCTACCCAACAATTACTTTAAATTCTAAAATATTGTAAAAGTCCATGACAATTTTGAAGCCCAAAATTAATACTTAGGTTGGTTACAAATACCAAAATACAAAAATAAAGGTCCAATTTCCGAAAACCACTATAACCTTATAGGCTTCTACTATGTAACATTCAAACAAACTAACTCTAATGACTGATGTGTAATGTACTAATGTCCTTAAGCAAGCCCATCTTGTCTCAAAAGCTAGTGAGTCGCGATGACTGGGCCGTTGAGTAGTTGACGAGTGAAGAGGCACACACTTATATATGACAAGTGTATCTACATAGGGATTCCACGAGTCAAGGCACACAACTTTGCCCGAATGTCTTATTCAATTTTTTTTAAATAATAAAAATGACTAAATACACTATATCATATGAGGAATAAATGATTTTATATCTATGTTCTTTGAATAATTTTATTTATTTTTGTTAGAGATTACTATTGATTTAATTATATCTATATTGTTTAAGTTATTTAGGAGAATAATCAGAATATGTTACTTTTTAATACGCGGCATGTTGAACTGCTTAAATATACTAATAATAATTATTGTTCAATATTGAATATGACATCAATAGATTATTAACTGTATTTTGTAACATTTTAATAATGGATTATACATGTTGCTAGTAACACTGATTTATTATATTTCGTTAGTCTATGATAATTTGTTGTATTGAGAGACATGCATGGTAATTTACCGATACCGTACTGTTACCGAACCGAAACTTCGGTATACCGAAACTTCGGTAAGGTAAACAGTAAATAAATTTTGTATACCAAAAGTTTTGGTACGGTAAAGACATGAGAGAAAATATTCGATATACCGTACCGAACCACCCCTAATAGAAATCATACACAATTGATACTGAGTAGTATTTTTGTGTAGATGGCTATTAAACAACTAAGTAGTAATAATTTTAATCATAGAAACTTGTGTTAAAATTTTAAACTCTAGTAATCATGATACTAGATTCATAGTAACTTGAATAGTTTTGTAAAAAGTTTTAATTGAATAGTATTTAAAAACATTATAAAAAGTAAATTTTAGGCAAAACTTCTCACCTAAATAACCAAATAAGCAGACACTCAGGTCACATGAATGTTTCATTTTTTTTTTGGACGATACATGAATGTTTCATTGAAAAACAAGTTTTAAATAAATTGGTTTTTTTTAAAGGAAAATGCTTATATTAGTCAAAAGAGCCATTACATCAATCAAGACACCAAACCAACAACTCCCAGTAGACCCACAATACCAAAAGCCCATCGCCCCCCTCACGTCATGTCCAGGCATAGAATAGTTCACCCTAAAAAGAGCGAGACTAATCGCTGAAACGGTGAGAGCTAAGAGGCTACTAGCGGCTGCAACAGCCTCATTGCCTCCATCAAGGTAAAACCTACTCAAAGGAAAAACACCCACGACTCCCACTCCCTTATTGTAAGCAAAAATAACAAAAAAACAAGCAACTGAGTTCGGAACAATAGAAATAAAATAGCAAAAATAAAAGTCCAGGTGATGGAGTTTGTAAACGTCCATCCCCTGTGTTGCTCCCGGTGCGTCTTCTAGATGCCTGATAGGCGGGCATTGAAGCCCGTCCCCTTCCCGTTTTTTGGTGAGCCCGTCTCCATTTCCATATCCTTTTGTGTAATTTCCCGAGTCTCGTGATCTACCCGTCTACGCTTTTGATCCACCTTAACTCCATTATAAGCATGGTCTGATCCCTGCTGTTGTTTTCCCTCTGCATTCGAGCTTGTCATCCCTGTTCCCTCCTCCTCTTATTTTCCTTTCCCTTTGCCAATCGGGACTAGCCATTTGTTGCCTCCCACAACTGTGTTTCCTTTTGAAGCTCTCTATTCAGGTCCATAAGGGAGTCCCCCACTTTTGCCTTTACCATCAGGGTAACGCGGGCAAAAACGTTCTGCATGACCAATGACTCCACAAGCAAAACAAAAACTAGGTAATTTTTCATACCTGAACTTAACACAGAAACTTTCCCCTTCGTCAGATTGAAGAATAAGTTTCCTCTTCAACGGCCTGTTCAAGTCAATACTAACCCTAATCCTCATATATGGGTTCCATTCAACAGAGAAGTTCTGCTCGTCCACCTTAATAAACTTCCCTACAAAATTCCCAATTTTAATAGCATTTTCCACATAAAAGAAACTCATTGGCACATCATGAACCTGTAACCAGAAGTCAGCCATATTCAACGGTACCTTCAACAGCAAATCACCTTGCTTTAACCTAGCAAGCACAATAAGATTTTGATCGAAGGTCCACGGTCCTTCCTCCATAACACGAATCATATCATTTTCATTGTAAAATTGGAACATATACCTTCGTCCACCTATCTCAGTAATGGTCACGCCTCTAACAGGCTTCCAAACATTGGCTATAGTGTCACGGAAAAAAGAGAAGCGTACCGACTTTTCGGAAGTGATTGTTTCAACCAAAGTCATCCCTATCTCCTCAAGCCTTGGAGCTTTAGCCACCACATGTAGGACTTCATCCTCCTCCTCCATCTCCAATTTTTCGTACTCTTTTGTCAGCCTGTTGATCTCCTCCAAATCATTGACATCAGCCATGGTCACTGCCTCTCTTTCGCTAGAATCGTGAGTGAAGTAAAACGAAGCAGTTCACCTAGGGTGCGAACCGAAGCAAACCACCAATCGTGCGTACCGAAGCAGTCCCCCAAACACACCCCTGTAACAATCTTCTAGGGTTAAATCGTACAACTCTTCCGTATTTGAAACTCCTCAAACTTTCTTGGCAGTCTTTGTTAGCGAACCCCTGCGCCTTCGAGCAAGAAAAACGTGAAGAAAATTAAACCTAGCCCCAGCGATTGCCTAGAAATCGCATGCTATGAGATAGCGGCGATCCCAATAGTCGTGGCCAGAAGAAGAAAACGTCGAGCGATTCAATCGCCGACCCCTAATTGCGCAGACCCTAGCTGCGGCGGAACCCCCCCGATTCACTTAAATAAATTGGTTTTAAAGTGAAATATTTACAACTAGATTTAAAGCCCGCACGATAAAGTATGTGATGATCAAATTTAATTAATTTAATAAACTTTAGAGAATAGTTGAATCAATTATATACTACCTCCGTATTCTAAAGTTTCATACACTTTTCATTTTGAGATGTATTTAAAAGTACCAAACACTTTTCTTTTTTGGTAAGTTTTTCTTTTAAAAATACTGAACTCTTACTTTTTCTACACTTTATCTTCTATTTCCTACCTTTTTACTTTCTCTCCTACTTTTTCTATACTATTTATTACTCGTACTATTTTCCCATAAGTCATGTGTCATAACCTAACGTATGGATCTTTTAAACACGGGGGAGTATGTATTAATTGATTAATATGCTAATTATGTGACATTTCTACGTGTCCCATTGTATACCCCGAAAAGTTTCTCTGTCAAATATGTATGTGTGTATTGATTAGGAGTGCAGATGAATAAATGTCACAATTACTTTATTTAAATCAATTAAATTTTGACGAACATCTCAAAACATCTTCTATGGGTGGCCATATGGAACAAAAAGTAAAATAACACAAAGATGCGAGTATAAAAGTTTTTATTGATGAACTTTGATTACAATCTTTGTTAGTAATATACGGTATGGGAATGATACAGTAATACGTATGTTCGCGTATAATACGGTGCACTTTTATAAAATACGGCTAGATATATGTTTTATACGTTCGGAACAAGAATACAGATACGTACGCGTTTTAAACGTTTAATAATTTAAAAATACGGCATATAATACAAGTCTATATTTACACTAGTTTCACTAAATTATTGATACAAAGAAATGTTTAGTTAACATCTCAACATTTTTCAATGATTTAAGATGCAATTCTTAAAAATGTAATACTCCGTAATATTTATAAAATTATTAATAGACCTACTTTTAGATAAAATAAAATAATCATAAGAAATTTAAAACACAACACTCTAATTGGTTTATAGTTGTGTAAGAAGTTTATAAAATGTAAAAAAAAGTTTATAAAATGTATATTACTGATTTAGTAAAACATGTTTAAAAATTTATAAAAAACTATAACAAACTCAGGTTGACAAAGTAAATGTATGATGATAAAGTTATTCGTTCCTCACAATCTATGTTCTAGAACTTGCTAGACGCTAGTCCTGCGGTTGAGGGGCGCCTAGCTCCTGGGCACTAACTAGGCGCCGAGTCACCTACTAGGCCATTTTTTAGCCGACTAGGCCAATTAGTCCTCCACAATTAGTTCCAAGTAATCAAATCAATTAGGCCGATTTTTAGAATAATGCTCATAATGTTTAAATTATTGTTAGTGTTAGAAATTAGATATTTCGAAACTAGAAAAAAGGTTCTATTCATTATTGAATCACATAAATGAAGCTTAATTGAATAAATAAAATCGATATCAAACATCAAAAATGAAAAAATAAATTCGTATTTGAGATTAATGAGAGAAAAGAATTGTATTGCTTTTAAAAAAAAACAACACTAATGAAATTTTTAAAGCTGAAAAGTTCATACATACTCCGTATTTAAAAATTGAAATACGTAATACTCTGTATGTGGATATGGGTGATTGGGTGAATTGATAATAATACAGCAATCATGTGGGAAGTTAAAACTTAGAGCTTGCCGCCGCCTCTACTATGCTAGTCGGGTAGTGCTTTGGTCACCGTGCAAAGTGAATAGTTAAAACCTTAGAGCATCTCCAATGGGTGAGAAGTTCACATTTATAAATGTCGCCACATCATCCATGTCAACATTATCATACCAAATATGTCTCCAACGCAGCTTCCTTAAAATCATACGAATCTGACGTGTAAAAATAAAACCGCAACACTGTTTAACTGAATGTCTTCTGATAACAGTGACTTCCACATGATGACTCGGCAAATAAGGCGGAGAAATACCGCAACAAAAAATCCGGAAAACCTCTGGGAAGTCTTCCGCTCAAATACCACATCTGCGCTCCAAGAATAATCACCCACGACATACACACAACTGACCCAAGTAGTGGGTTTGTCTTCGGCATAAATAATTTCACACTTAAAAAGATTTTTACACGTAAACATTATTAGGTGGCTTGGGTGCTATGAACACTAGGCATTGGACCATAATTTTGGATTCCACCGTATGTTTACATCACTTTTATATGACATGGAAGACTATTCCATTTATTGTTTGCCATGTGTCAAAAATTATTTAATGTTAACGATGTAGCATTAAAGATGCTCTTAGGCTTTACTGGACAGCCGTATCACACTCCGCAACCAATACTCCGTATCACTCCGCAGGGGCCGGGATCGTGGGCAGTTGTGGGAACGGTACGGTATACAATAGTACATGATTTCAGCTATTTAGGGTTTAGTTGGTCTTTTTTCTAATTAAAATACGTATAAATACAATTAATACGTGTATAATACGTTTAAGTAGTAATATACGCGTATTTTTGGAAAAAATACGTAAACGGGTAATATATACGTGTATTATACGTTTAAGCATATTATACGTGTATTATACACGAATTAACTAACAAGGATTACAATTAGGCAATTAGCTATATCTAAATAGAAATTAAACTAAACCTCTATATTAAATTAAATAGTAATATTTTTGTATGATCACATCACATTTTACATCTTACCCTGATTTCATGTTACTACGTATACATGAAATCACATTTCATCTTACATTGTCATGCATTTTTTAAATTTAAAATGTTGTTACATATTTTTTTAATCACATGCTTCGCACGGAACCGACACGCAACAAGCACGCAAGAGGAGTATCATTTATTAGGGAGTATGGCATTGAAGAAGAAAATGATAAGTTTGATACCAACCAAATCAAACCAAACAAAAATCAAATTAGATATAATCGAAGTTTGAAATTGACGAAAATCAACCAAGACCGAAACACACCAAAACTAACCGAAAAAAAATCAAACTATGCCCGAATTATGAAAATCTCAACTCTAAAACACGCCACAGGCACGAAACGAGAGTATCACTTATTAGGGACTAGGGAGTATGGCCTTGAAGAAGAAAACCATAAGTTTGAAACCAACCAAAATCAAACCAACAAAAATCAAATCGGGTATAATTGAAAGTTTGAAACTGACAAAAATCAACCATAACTGAAACACACCAAAACTGACGAAAAATAATCAAACTAAAACCGACTAAATGCGCTCAAAAACACCCGATCAACGCCCCTATAACACAGTAGGAAGCTATGGGAAATAACCTAATAATATCTGAAAGGCAATAAAAGTAACTATATCAAACTATCAAAGCACATCCATCATTTTATAAAAACACAAGTAATTCTCTGGTGTTACTTCATGAAGTTAAAAAAAAAGCACAACACAAAGTTTCAAAGGTTATATTTATGAACATGCCTATACCTTAACAGGCACAAAGCAAAAAAGCAATCGATAGGATATACAAAAAATATACTACACCAAGTATACACAAAAACTAATAAGATACAGCAGTACACATAATAGTACACAAGCTTCCCAGGAACTAACAGCTATCTAATACTGCAAGGGAGGGTCAAAATGAGAAGCCATTCCTAACAAAAAATATACACTACCAAGAAAGACATCACAGAGAGAATCACCATGGAGCAGTGGCCACATCTCTGAACATCATCTCTACCCTATCTTTCTGGCTGTACAGCTCTATCTCATCATCCAAGCTCTGCATTGCCTCTTTCATCTTTGACATCTTGCTTCTGAGATCCTTCAGCTCATCTTTTAAAACAGCGCGTCGTTCTCTTCTCTTCGACGCGGCATCCTCTGACGACTCATACGATAAACTAATGAGCTTTTCTAGTCTCTCACGCAAGAACTGGACTCCCATGCCTAAACACTCGAACCCTTTGAGGGTAGTGTCCCATGCTTCCAAATGATGGCAGCCGGGAGTCATTGTGAGCTTGGAAACTCTGATGGCATCTGCTATGTTTACGGTCTCTGAGATGATGCCAGCAATGAGCTTATAGTTGAGGCCTTCTATGAGGTGTTGATGAAGATATGCATTTTGGGTTTGGCAGAGCTGATAGTACTTGGCCCTCAGGTCTCGTGGGATCTCTGAATCAATTATCAAACCATTGGCAAAGATGCAGAAGCTCTTGAAATCTTTTGCCTGAGAAAAGTCAGGTGCAGAGTCTGCCAATCTGAGACCACCATTACCATCTTCATCTTCATTGGAGGCGTTATCAGATACGTGTGATGGTGTAGGGCCATGTTCTGATATTGATGACTCCTCGCTCACTTTGGCCTCGCCTCGGCTTGTCAGTTCCGGGAATGACTGCTGTTTTTCTGCAATATCAATCATGTATAAAAAAGTTCAAGTCTTTCTTAATAATCATATCACTGTGTCTTATGGGTATGGAAGGATCTAGCTAACTGACATGGTCAGGGCGTTATCCTTTTAGCCTGTTTTTGTTCTATGAAGTGATTAGTCTGTGTTTAATGGAACTGCTTTTCAGAAATAAACAAAAAAGTATAAAAAAGTTCAAGTTCTTATTATCTGGATGTCATGCTGGTTTATGATACATTTGTACAAGTTATTTATTCACATAACAAGACTTCTGGGCAATTTCACTTTATGTCTGTGAGTATGAAAAGTAACGCAAAGAAATCTTCACACAACTACACAAGCAATATTTTTGTTCTCATGGGCATAAGATCATACTAACAAAGTCTTGTCTCATTGAACAAACATACCTGTACAAATTAGTTGTACTTGTACAAATAACAATTTTCTTTTATTATACCAAAGATACCTGCCTTGACCTGAGGCACACAACATGCACATACTTTGCACACACACAATATGCACAATGTGCACACTGTTCTTTAAGTAAATATGAATTGTATGTGGGAACCAGCACTTTGGAGAAAAGCCAGAGTTTGGAAAAAGACAACTAGGTTGATGGTGAGTGTGAATGGTATCTTATTCCAAATAAGAAAGACACATTGAAAGGAGGAAGTTGCTATATTTTAACGGTTCTCTTCATAGCACTGCAATGATACATCTTTTAATGGAATTGATCAAGAAAGACGATATTAGCATGGAGTCTGGAAATGCATTAGCTTTTTTTTTTTACATGGTTGGAGAAAGTTAGCCAGAGATGTTACTGAAATTGTACAGTATGGAAGTTTTTTAGCTGCACAAGTGTAACCAAATATGCTACTAGATAAATATATTGGGACAGGACCCAAAAGGAGAAAAAACAATGTGGGGGATGAAGAGAGTATAGGTGAAGTCACTTTAAATGGAAGAGAAAAAGTCACTATATACGTAATAACAAGGGAAAACTGTCAAATAGGTCCTCAAACTTTCATAAAAAAGTCAATTAAGTCCTTCTATAGGAGACTCTGTCCAGTCGTCGCGATTTGGGGCGGTTCCCGGTGGAATTTTTTGATGAAATTTTTTGAGCATCTTATTCATCAAGTCTAGTTTACTCATACCAAATTTCAGCTAAAAATTTAATCCGGAGCCCATTCAAATTAATTCGAGAACGCAAAAATGCGCAGTTATCTTCAAGAATTTATTTGAATGTGTTCCCGATTGAATTTTTAGCTGAAATTTGGTATGCGTAAACTAGACTTGGTGAATAAGATGCTCAAAAAATTTCATCAAAAAATTCCAGCGGGAACTGCACCAAATCGCGACGGCCGGACAGAACCTCCTATAGGAGGACTTAATTGACCTTTTTATGAAAGTTCGAGGACCTATTTGACAGTTTTCCCTAATAACAATTAAAGAGGAAACAGAGATGTACCTATTGCAAGTGGTTGATGTCTTAGATTCAAAAGACTAATGGCGACGAAGTCATCGTCAGTTGAGTCATTTTCCCTGACAATGTATACCTGAAACAGGTAGAGGGAGTAATACAAAATATAAATGTCTGAATCAAGAGGGATTCATTCATCACGAATTTATGACAATAAGTTTTAAGACTTTAATATTACAATACATAGGGAAAAAATACAAAGAGGGGAGGGGTGACCTGAAACTTGCAAGACTCTACACGTTGAAAAACTAAGACATCCCCGGGGATCAAATTGTGGGCAATGGAGAAGCCTCGCCATCCACCGCTGAAGCCCGACTTTTCAACGAGGTACTTCGTCTCCCATTCTTTGTCGTCCCCATCCACCAAAATAATAGTTGCATCATGCTTTGGCAAATGAGTACAGAATGATTTTGGCAAGCCCTATCACATTCATCATTTGACAAATTCCACTCACAGTTCCACACAACAACAAAAATGATTTTATTGCTCTTGACTTGATGCCATAATGAAAAATATTTCTTACCAGCCAATATCCTCCTGTAACATGAGAATGCAGCATGAACTTGACTAGACTAGGAAATCCCGGTGCAAGCTGTGCTTGAATCATTTGTGCTCTCGTCATCGCCAACGAATTCTTGTCAACTGTGGAACGCTCCCTCTTTACACCTCCGCCTTTAGCCTTCTTCCTGATTAGCGCCAAACAACCCTACAAACATTTCATGGGGAAATATACTGATTACTTGGCTGATAATATAGTTAGTTCTTCTTATTCAACTAAAGGAAGGGCAGCCTGGTGCACATTGCTTGCAACCCCTGCAAGGCAAGGGTCTGGAGAAGGGTCCACCACAAGGGTGTATAAGAGCAAGGTTTCCCTTGTTATTTTCACAAAAGACCGCTCTCTAGGCTTGAACCCGTGAACTCTCGTTCACACAACACACCATACTTAACCAGTGCTCTAAGACTCCCTTTCAACTGTTCTTATTCAAGCAAATATTAATAATTACTTATTTAGAAAATCTGAAGGGAACCCGGATTGAAGTCAAATGAGACAGAAAACTTACAAAAACATTCAAAACATTTTATTGCTGATCATAAAGTCATCTTTGAAATGTATGTTCAATTCCTAACGGGTCTTTGGCTCTTTGCTAATGATGTTTGAGAAACTCTAGTAATTAAAAGTATTGATATTATTGAAAAATGGCCATAAAATGGATTTATTGGTCTAAGATTTGCAGGAAAGTAGAAATGAAAGTAAAAAAATGTTCCAGGGAAGGCTTGTCCCTATACTGGCGGGACCCTTAGCTTCCACCAGTCTACCTTTAAATGTTTAGAAAGTATACAAAAATTCTGTTGAGCCTTACAAGCAGAATCCGAATATGGTCAAGAATTAGCTAGAAAAAGATGAGATTAATGAAGAGTTAAGATAACTCCATGAATAGGGTCTAAGAACTTTCACCTGAAAAGAATGGAGTAGCAGTTTATTTACCTTATCCTTTGCCCCTTTGTTTTTCTTGGAAGAAGATGACCCCTTGAGCTGCTTCTTATTGACCTTCATCTTCTCAAGCTGCTAGCATGCCAAAAATGAAAACAGAACAAATGGATTTAGGCCCCAACTATTCTGTCCTTAAACATTAACAAAGTTAGAGGAACAACTCAACAACATGGCCAGCTACAAAACGAAAAAAACGCGGGTATTGAGATATCTTCTTTTTTACACGAAACAGAAATATACAAAAATAAAATTGACCTTCCCTCAAGTTCTACGAGAAAAAGGTCAAGGGAGAAGGAGAGTTGATGAGCGTTTTTTACTGGGAACCATTGGCGAGGTGGCCATGCCGTGGAAGAAAATACTACTAATATAGAATGCCTGGGAACCATCAAGCTGTTTTGAAAATGAATGAATGAAAACTGTAGAATGCCCGGGAGAAACACCTTTTGGTTATTGGAAGGGGTAAAAGGCAAACATTAATCCCGGATGGAAAAACAAAGATAATTTGGAGCTTTTGAAGTATATAAATTTCTATAAATATAATGGCTTATTTGGAGCTTTTGAAGTAGAGTTTTGCTAGGGGTACACAAAAAGTGTATACATGTCTATCTTTCACAGAAATTTTGTCTGTCACAGACAACTCATTTTGAATTGTTTGTGACAGACAAAATTTCTGTGAAGGACAGACATGTGTACACATTTTGTGTACACATTTTGTGTACCTCAAGCATTTTTCTTTGAAGTATATAAATATAATGGAAATTTTCGAGTAATTTCAGAAGTTGGAGTTTCTCTCTCTAGGGTTGCCTCTCGCAACCCCTAGTTCGTCTGCCCTCGATATCTTCGAGGAGCGTGTTGGATTGGTTGGGACGAGCGGCGATCGGATTGAACAAGGGTCGTGGTGGATTGGTGGATTAGGGCGGTGACGAGTCTGCTAATTAGCGGGCAAGAGCGATGGCTGGGTTATTTATCCAGGAGCTTGGAGGGATAGGCAGACAGGGAGTTGGCGAGCTGTACTCAGCGCTTGAAACCGAAGTAGCGACGGTGCGACGAATTAGTGTGGCGAATGGGATCTTTTGTCGATAGATATAAGCAGATGGCGATCGGAGAAGACACGGAGGAGTTGGATCTCGATGAGCTTGACGCTGAGGAAATTCCGGGGGAGACATGTTCGAAAGGATTCCTGGTGATCGGCCAGGTTTTGACCGATAGGAAAGTCAAATTTCCGGATCTTAAGGAGTTGATGTTATCTCTGTGGAGACCGGGGAAGGGTATGGCGGTTAAGGAAATTGGTGAAAAGAGGTATCTATTTACTTTTTTCATCGTTTTGATATGATGCGTGTGCTTGAGGGAGGACCATGGCAATTTGAACGTAGTCTTTTGATGCTAAAAGAGGTTAAGCCTGATGATATACCACACAAAATTATTTTAAATGAGACTGAGTTTTGGGTTCAGATTCATAGTGTTCCCTATAGCTTAGTTAATCTGGGTACTGCCAGGCGTGTGGGAAATTTCATTGGGGAATTCATAAAATATGATAGGCCTGGGATCGGTTCGGTTCTTGTTAAAATTCGATGGAACCGTATAAAAATCATAGACATTAAATTCGGTTCGGTTCTAGTTAAAAATGTAGTTGTTAAATTCGGTTCGGTTCTAGTTAAATTCGGTTCGGTTCGGTTCTTTTTTCGGTTCCTAACAAAAATTTATTATCCTCCCAAAATCAACACACTTCAGTTACGTAAAAAAATTCAAATTTTAAATCACGAAATTATGACCATTACATTATACATGCATGATATCTCAATGTTCAAATATCCAAGTGCAACATTAAATTTAAACATAACAAAAATCTCAATTTAAAATAGGCATTAACTGTCAAGCAAAAAGGTTCAATAGCCCAAAGTACACATCCAATAGCAGGTAGTTCAACCCCAAAATAATATTCTTTTTCTAGTAATGCACAATAAGTAAAAACTACGTAGTAATAAACAGCGCAATGAACAGAATGTTAATTGTTTTTTGTAGTAAACTCCAATAACAAATTCAATTACAAACAAACAATAAATATAAAAATGGTCTACATGAAATGTTTTTCCCGGAACACCGAGGTGCTTCCGTGAAGAATTTTTTGATAAAGTTTTGTGAGCATGTTCTACATGAAATGTAGATTACATATACCAAATTTGAGCTTAAAATTCAATCGGGAAGTGAGTTAAATAAAATATTGAAAAAATTGCGTTTTTTATATATTTTGGCGTAGTGTTTTTCAATAATTTATTTAACTAACTTCCCGATTACATATTAAGCTTAAATTTAGTGGACATAATCTTTATTTAATAGAAAACAACCTCACAAAATTTCATCGAAAAATTCCACCCGGAAACACCTCAAATGAAGATTACTCATGCAACGTATGAGAAGTTCAGTTCCTGGCTAGGAACCGGAACCGAATTGGAACCGAACCGGAACCGAACCGATGAAAGACTATAGGAACCGAACCGAAAAAAACTGAAGTCCAAAATTATAGGAACCGAACCAAACCGGAAATTTCGGTTCGGTTCGGGTCGGTTTTCCCGGTTTTCCGTTCTATGTCCCAGCCCTAAAATACGATGACAATAAAAAAAGTGAAAAGTTGGAGCCATACATGCAGGTTAGAGTACTAATGAAGGTAGATAAATCGTTGAAAAAGGGGACAAATCTGAAAAAAGATGGTAAAAGTTTTTGGGTAGATTTCAAATATGAAAGACTGTCCAACTTTTGTTTCATATGTGGTTTCATTGGACATTCAAATAATTTTTGTCCCCTAAATTATGAAGAAGGCCTAGTTTTAGGAAAAAGATTTGGAATCCATCTTAGAGCAGGAAGTGGAGTGAAGACCAGCCCTACAGGAGGTAATAAATGGTTCTTGGAGGATTCATCGAGCTCTGGCAGAACGGGGGATAACAGGGGCATATAAAATCGGAAGAAAAGTCAGGTGAAAAAGAGAAAGAGGCAATGACAGAATCAGCCCAAAGCATTACCAAAGGAGCAGGGGAGGAATCAAAGGAAGAGGTTTCGAAGAGAAGGAAGATCTGGGAGACTCGGACAGAGAAGGTTCAAGGAGAGGACAACATAGCTTTGGATGGGACAAAAAACGGGGAGAAGGCGGGCTTTGCTCTTTAAGCCCGCCGAAGCTTCTGACGAGAGCAGGGAGGCAGCAAGTTCGAGGGTCTGTTCGAGTTAGCAGGCTGGGACATAAGACTTACATTTTTTGTTTTGTTTGTTATTCCAGTGATTGTTATTTCTGTTTTGCTATTTGTTTTTTCTTTATTGTTCCTGCTTGTAAGACGTTGGATTTGGATGTGGGAGATAAGAGGAATACGGTAACCGTTTTTTACTATGATTTTCTCATTTATGGATCAACGAATTATATTGCTTCTCTAGAGGTCATTAATTTCGAGTCTGGTTCGCGGGACGACGGTTGTCAGATTTCTTTTTGTCATTTTACCCATACTCTGAATTATGTGTTATCAATATAAGCCGAATTCTTCCAAAAAAAATATAATGGAAATTTTCATTAAAATGATTAAAATTTTAAAATAGAAGCACAATATTTTCCCATGCAATCAAAGTGTCATAATTTGATAGTATCATACGACATTAATATCATGACAGTATAAATACCATAACTAGCTTTTTAAAATACCATAATTAACTTTTTTGACTGGACAATAATAGTTCTTGATTAGGGCATCCCCATTCTTTAGATTATTTAGAGTTTAATTGGATGATGTGTAAGATTATTTTGAATATTATCATTGTGAGTGAGAGATTATTTAGAGAGATTATTGAAAAAGATAATCCAGTATCAAGATTTGAATCCCATATTATTTTAGGTTGTAGTTAAATTGCATTTAATGCATGGTCTAGAAAAACTAATTATTTGAGTATCATGTTTGATGGAGAGTTTTAAAATTTGAGATTATTTAAAATTTATTTAATAAATGTGATGTGACAATGATGTGTCATAAAAAAATCATTTATTTTAAGATCATGAATGGAGATGCTCTTAGAGGAAAAAAATAAAGTATTATTCCCAGTTTCTCCAACTTTTAGATGCGATGTTTTTAATTTGATAGGATTTTTTTGATCTGATTTGGTTTGATCTGGTCTGATCTGATTTGAACCTGTCTGGTCTGATTTAGTAAGATAAATATCCGGTCTCCATGTATTTTATAACTATGCAAGTCTGATTTAATTTGGTCTGGACGGAAAATAGTCCGAAAAACACCCTTAAAGTTTTTTCTTTATTTCCAATTTTTTGGTTTCCTAGATTTCTACTCAAATAAAAATTATAGACAAAAATATGTCTACAGTTACTAATCAATATAAGTCACTAACATAGTAACTTTATATATGATGTCACTTTGTATATCAATATTAAAGTTTCCCAATATGTGTTATATTTTGGGACATAATGACACATACTTCCTAAATAGGTAAAACTAGGGTAGAAATAAAAAAATATGACTTCTTATGTTTTTAATCCAAAATAGGACCATATTACTCCTATTTTAAAACAAACGTATTTTTTCTTTCCATTCTTAACTCTCCTTTAGATAGGAGTAAAAGGTAGTCAAGGGTCATAATGAAATGTTTTAATTCATAATAAAATCGTAAAAATTAATAAAAATTGTAGAAAAATGCGTAGTAATAAAGAATTAATAAAAATATTTATAAAATAATCTTTTTTTTTTTAAATATGGATGTCTTCCTGCTGCCTATATTGTCTCCCTGCACCACCACCTCTTATCGGTGTAAAAAATGTCATTTTTTCTGAAAATGCCAAAAATGACATATTACTCTTTGGTAATGCCAAAATTTTATTTGAAATTGCCATTAATATGACATTGCTAATGCATGTAGCATTTTTTACCGATGACTGGAGGTAGAGGTGCTAGGAGAGGCAGAGGCAACAGTGATTTTTTTACGTTATTTTTTAAAAATTTAATAATTGTTTTTAAAATTTTTATTCTATAATTTTTTTTATTTTTTTATTATTTGTTTATGATTTTATTATGAACTAAAATATTTCAATTGCTACAAGGGTATATTTGTCCACGTCCACACACACATAATTGGTCCTATTAGTGAGTTAAAAAACAATGTAGTCTTATTTGTGGTTATTGACTATCTTTTACTCATATTTAGGTAAATGATCCAAAATTTAATTGAAATCTCGATATTGGGATTATCAAACTGTCCTTAGTCTTTTAATGTTTTTTATTTCTCAAATATCAATTGCAAAATCAAAAGCAATTTTTTTGCAACTTTGCACAATGACCATATGTGGCAAAATCATATTTTTTTGTTTCTATACAAATAAATGTTTTGGCAAAACCGATGTGTAGTACGAAGTACGAAAATAGAGAAGGGGC